TCAAAATTTTCTTTTTGATGCAGAAATATTCCTAGAGCGTCTAGATGCAGAAAGAAAGAAGAAGAAAAGAAAGAAAAGTGAAGAATTGAGTCCGGTCTCAGCGATGGAATCAAACCAGAATTCAGTCTCAGAGAACTCAACAGTATAGAATCTCTTCAACAAAGGTAATGGTGGCGTACTATCCTGTAGCATTGAAAATACACAAGTGCTTAAATCTCTGCCGCCAGCAATTTTCGCCGCGCCCCACTCATTTTCATACCAGCATCCGGTTCTTTTTAGTCTGCAGGTGGCTTTTAAGGCTTCCCCACGTATGAAATCACAAAGTGACGGTAAGTGCAGAGGTGCGTCAAGAGTACTATATACCACTCGAAAAATTTAAAGTTAAATAAAGAGGCTGTCAAGCAACTATTTTCGTTCTTTACATCGAAACCAGATAAATTTTCGTGGATCCACATACAACTCATGGACCGCCATATTTTTCTCTCGTTACCGTTGACCCTTCGTCGAGTCTCCCGTGGACCACCTGAACCACTTTGGGAATCACTGGTTTAGACCAAACCCAACTCTTTCCAAACCGCTAGTTGTTTTTAATTATTGATCAAATAAATAAAAGTTCAAAATAAATAAGTTAAAAAATATTATGAAACAACATCACAGGCTAAGACATAAAGACAGTTGTTGTCAAAAATAAGTAACTTGGAGTTGCAGTGGAGTTTCAAAAAAATTTGTGTTTCTTCTTTTCAAAGGGGTTTTTGTTATTATCAATTTTGTGTAATTTGACATCCTTACATTTCGAAATATCGAAGTTTCAAGTATTTCTGAAATTTACTGTTGCATAAAAAGTGGGCGTAATTTTAGTCCGATTTCAATAATTTTCAGCGTTTTGCTTTTATGTGGCAAGCAATATAATCATACCGAGTTTGGTAGACATTGATGGAACGGCTGCCGAGATACACATATGTGGTAGGCGGTGCCACGCCCATTTTCCCAAATTTTATCATAAACGTATTTTTTGCTAAACAGTTATTGCAAACATCAATTTTGAATAAATTAGCTTCAGTATTTACTGATTTATCGAATCGTATTTATTTCGTATTTCTCTAAATTACCGTTATATGGGATGTGGGCGTGTTTATTGTCCGATTTTAAAACTTTTCAGCACTTTGGTATGAGAAATTGGTGGAGCGGTTACCGAGATATACACATGTAACTATAAGTGGGCGTGGCTACGCCGATTTTCCAAAAATTCATAATATACTTATTTCTCGTCTAAAAACCATTGTAAGTAACAATTTTGGGGGAATAAGCTTCAGCAGTTGCTAAAATATCGCAGCTTTCGTATTTCTGAAAACTACCGTTATATGGGAGGTAGGCGTGGTTATTGTTCGTTTTTGTACAATTTCAATTTCATCCGTCCTACGCTGAAAAGAAGTACACATAAATCACAGCTTCATCGATTTTTTTTTTCATTCTGATCATTTATGTATACATTTGTCTATATCTATCTTGATTCATTTTGCCTGTTACGAACAACCGTTATGTGAACAAAGTATTAATACTCTTGTGCACAAGTGCGCTCGGGAATAAAAATAACGCTTAAAATCGCCAACCCACAGTGGGAGAAATGGGCAATTTCTCTCAAAAAAAAAAAAAACAAATTTTAGATGTAATATTTTTTTATAAAACTAATTCTTATAAAAAAATATTTTGCTTATTATTTTTGATAGCTTTCTAAAATGTTTTTTATTTAATCACCTTATATGAGAATATATGAAAAATTTATGTATGTTTTTTAACAAAATAAATAAATTGTTTAATAAAGCTATTGTTTTATGCGTACAAGAAAATATGTAGAAACTATTCCGAGGCAGAGCTTTCGGAAATATGGCATCAGTTAACTCATTTACGTCTGCAAGAAACTGTTTGTCCTCCTCATTATTGAATTATTAGATATTGAGTATTTAGCTATAAATCCAAGGCACCAATCTTTAGTGAATTCCCATCGACAGATCATTTGCGAATTCGTAATCACCATGATATTTATGGGGCGGACCTGGATTTGGTTCAAATCATTAATAAACTAATTGATTCTATTGGATCCTCAATTGGTCCCCCTGATTTTATTAAAAAATAATAAAAATTTGCAGAATTTTGACATATTGCTGGTCTGTCTGTTGATTTTTTTATGGAATTCAGCTATGTATATATTGATACACGGAACCAAACTTTTATAAAGTTAGTTAACAAATAAAGAATAAAATTTACACACATACAGTGGTCGCAAAAATTTAGTCGCACCAAATTTTGACAAGTTTTCACAATTATTATTACTTTTTTTCGTTATTGATTTGATTTATTTTTTTTTTATAAATTTATAGTTAATTCTTTAACAAAACCTGTACAAATCCAAGTTTCAAACTTTGTGTAATAAAAAAATCTACAAACTTTCGTAAAAATTTCGAGCTTTTTAATTAGATTTTCTTGAAAAATTTTGAGTATGCAGTTTTGTAGCCCACTCAATTCTAGTAAGTGCAAGTCTCAAGTGGCTAAAAATTTTCGTTTTGAAATTTTTTTTTTTCCTAAAGTGTTGCCAATTGTTCCAGTTTTAGAAACACTGAAAATTCACTTCAGCTGAACGTTCAGTTACGACATATGTATGTCGTTGGGGTAACACTGCATTTTTTTAGTTTTAACCAAAACATCGTAGCTTGGATAAATATTGTGGATCCGTTCTTTGGCACCATATTTACGATGACCATCCGTCCTGTATTATACGGGACAGTCCTCCTTTTAACCCATAGTCCTGGTAATTTATTTAATTTATACGGGATGCCAAATTTTCTGTATTTCTTTTAATGTCCTGTATTTAGTCTCGTATTCGGTGTTCTGACGCCGTAACAGCTTCTGCACATGTTTCACCAAAATTTTAAACTTTTTAATTAGAATCTTTAGAAAAAAATTTGGTTTGCGGTTTTGTAACTCATTAAAATTGAGTATAATAAAGTGCGAGTGGAAGGTGCTGCTCATTTGCTTCCTCTTCAAAAAAAAAAACAAAAAAAAAAAGCCAAAAATTAGTGGGTAAGCATTACCGACTTAAAATTGCATTTTATTATACTAAAATTCAACAAATATTTTTAACAAATTTTACGGGGTAAAAATCTCGAGAAAATTACCCTACAAATTTGTGATGTTACTATACGGATACTGTTTCATGGAAAACAGTATGGAAAAAATGCAAATATTTGTCCGGGTCTATAATTGTCACTCATATTGCATTGTTAAGATATTGTTGCCTCATCTAAAAGAAGGTTCTCATTAAGGATAGGTTTTTGCTCAGCACACAGTTTTAAGTATTTTGAAGATTCAGATTTGAGCTTAACTTTTCGTGCGCAGTCTTTTCAACGACGCACTCTGCAAAAGGTTTGTTTTTACGTCGATAAATTGTTGGTTCAGGGAAAATTAGATCACCATCTAACCATTCCTTATTGCGCTCTTCAAATATTGCTCTTATCCTGTGACTCGCCTTCCACTCATCCAGCAATTTACTAAAAAAGTTTTTTAACTATTTTTGAATTTGTTGGCTTTGCTTCCCGCTATATTTGGAGTGATCAATAATATTAGAAAATACATACATAATTTTCCCCAGCAAAAAAAACTTTTTAGTTGGCACGGGTCGACTTACGAAAAGTTTCAAGACTTCCTGTAAGAACAACAATGGCGACTTAGTTACCAATGTCCTGAACGTACCTAATTTATGAAGGAAATAATTTTCCACCCTACATATTGGGTCTGCTGGTCAACGAAGCCAAAGTGTGTCGAAGTATCTGCTGTCATCAAACAAAAGGCTTGGACCACCATTAAAACCGATAATACTAATAAACTTTATGTTGGTATTATCGAACGTTAAATTTACGAGTGTTGGTTCATATAAAGCTAGTTTGTTCCCTTATTTATGGCCGCTGCTGCATGTCTGGGTTTTATATTAAAATCTACAACTTTGTGTTTCACAAAAATATTTACACAAGCCTACACGACTAAATAAGTCTTCTTTAACTAACATTTAAAAAGCATTTGGTCTTTATTTAAAAAGAAAACATTAGTTTTCTATATTCGGTGCTAAAGTGTGTAATTGGCTGACGCAAGTTAAGAACATTTATTATTAACTTTGTGGTAGTTTAATTTTTGATATAAAAGTGCCGTTAGCTTACGAATTCCTAACAGAAGCCTACAAACTCTAAAACAGCGGCTTTCATATTCTTTGAATTATTTTCATGAATATATAAATTAATCAAAATGAGAGCACACTTAGCAGTCGCCTTGTTTGGACTCATTGTCCTTTCTTGTCAAAGTAACTCCCTTTTAAATCAATTTGCAACTTTACAGGAATTACGCTGTGCCATCTGGTACCAAAATTCGGTGATCCATACAATAACCGGGGTAGCACACATGGGGACGTTATAGCTAAGTCTATTCAAGGTGAAATCGAGCAGGCTGTTGGCGGCATCGCGCAGGCTGTTGGCGGCATNGTGAGTATACCTCCCAAAAAATAGCATTCAAAAAGTAACTCCCTTTTAAATCAATTTGCAACTTTACAGGAATTACGCTGTGCCATCTGGTACCAAAATTCGGTGATCCATACAATAACCGGGGTAGCACACATGGGGACGTTATAGCTAAGTCTATTCAAGGTGAAATCGAGCAGGCTGTTGGCGGCATCGCGCAGGCTGTTGGCGGCATTGAGCAGGCTGTTGGCGGCATCGAGCAGGCTGTTGGCGACATCGAACAAACCGGTCTTCTGGAAAAACTTCGCACTATTGTTTCTCATATTGTTGGTGATAGCGATGAAGAAGAAGGCTCTGGTNCGAACAAACCGGTCTTCTGAAAAAACTTCGCTCTATTGTTTCTCATATTGTTGGTGATAGCGATGAAGAAGAAGGCTCTGGTTCAGGCCCTTCCGAAGCGGCTGAGAATGAAAGCAGCACTGACGGTCCCTTTTCGGGATCACAAGAAAATGGTACAATAGTTGTAGCTACTGCCGTTGCTTCTGTTTCGGATTCACCTGAAGAGGAAAGTACAACCGTTTCTAGTTCCGAATCACCTGTGGATGAAAGTACTACTGAGGTTTCTTCTGAAACACCAGCTGATTCCAGCTCCGAAGCACCGCTTCTAGTTCTACTGAGGATGATAGTACGACAGCTTCAAGTTCCGAATCACCTGCGGATGAAAGTACTACTGAGGTTTCTTCTGAAACACCAGCTGATTCCAGCTCCGAAGCACCGCTTCTAGTTCTACTGAGGATGATAGTACGACAGCTTCAAGTTCCGAATCACCTGCGGATGAAAGTACTACTGAGGTTTCTTCTGAAACACCAGCTGAATCCAGTTCCGAAGCATCCGCTTCTAGTTCTACTGAGGATGATAGTACGACAGCTTCAAGTTCCGAATCACCTGCGGATGAGAGTACTACTGAGGTTTCTTCTGAAACAACAGCTGAATCCAGTTCCGAAGCATCCGCTTCTAGTTCTACTGAGGATGATAGTACGATAGCTTCTAGTTCCGAATCAACTGTGGATGAAAGTTCTACTGAGGTTTCTTCTGAAACACCAGCTGACTCAAGCTCCGAAGCATCCGCTTCTAGTTCTACTGAGGATGACAGTTCGACAGCTTCAAGTTCCGAATCACCTGTGGATGAAAGTACTACTGAGGT